AAGTTTTGTGCTGAAGAGAATTTACCACTACAAACTGAAAATAACTTTATCCATGCCTCTCCTACCAAAAGAAAATAAAAGAAAAGAAAGAATCTATGTCTCATCATTTTCCAATATCCAGTTTTTCTGAAGGAGTTTGTCAGAAGTCCGACAGTATATTAGGATGCACCCAAACAAACCTAAAGGATACGAATTGATTATGGTTGTCTTCATGAAATCTTGAGACTCATTAAAGCATCGTATTATCCTGTCCAATTGCAGACCATGAGAATATCCCTTTTAAAGGAAAATAAAACCGAAAATAAACCCACCATGCAACGTTTTACTAAGATAACTTATTAAATGGGATAGTGGCAAGTGGAAATTGTTGTCAGCTACGGATATGCTCTCAAATATTGGTATGTGTCAATATTGGGGCCAAATATTGTGTCAGTAAGTGGAGCATTGTTCTCATCATTATCTGTGTATAGGATGCCACAGGATATGGTTTTTTTTATTTGCCGCAACTTTATGAGTGTCTTGTTGATGACATTGTGCTAAACTTGCAGGAGATTTGAAATGGGATGCCCCTTAAAGTGTTTTTGCTTATCTTAATTAATTCAGGTCACGTCTTTTGCAAGGCCACATTTAAAACAAGTAATATGTAATTTTAAAAACTGGTGAAATAGGCTCAATAAATTTTTTTTATGATTTTACCTGTCTTTAATTTCAGGTTGTTCCCCTTCGTACTATGCTTGGTTGTAGATGAAGTAAAGAATATATGCCAAACCGTGATCTTGGAAATAAAAATTGAAATGAAAGTTTACTGAGTTCTACTTCAATTCCTCTGTTACATGTATCACAATTTAAGCTTTCTAACCAATAATTTTTTTCCGAGGGCGATGCAAACCAAGTGTGAAATGACTCACTGAGTAAAGCCTTTTGGTTTCAGCCATTTTAGGTCCATTCTATCTCACTTTCTTTGCCAGCTACTAATATACCGACATGGGAACAACATAAAAAAAAAAAAAAAAAAAACTGAGAGCAAAAGACTTCAAACTATTCAACTTTAGCTTCTTCGTGTCAAAATGGTAATTTTACATTTTAACTCTCATTCTATTGATTGGAAATTGATTTAGCATGATTATGTCGGGTTTAGTCGTCTATAGATGATCGAATTGAGCTATGCAATGATTCCCCCCCCCCCCCAAAAAAAAAAAAAAACTCTTCGGTGCTGATGTCGCTTCTGTCATGGACACATTTACCAGGGAAAATTGGTAAAAAGTAACTATTTGAAAATTTTATTAGTTAAAAAGACTTGAATTTGGGTGGTTGTAATTATCATCAGAACATGTAATTTTTGTTGTTGTTGTGTGCAACATATCTTTAACTGTATGTAATATATCTTTCATTTTGATTATTTTTGCATATAGTTGAAGATATGTTACACTTGTTGAAGATAATTATATCTACTCAAATTTAGATCATTTTAGTCAATAAAATTGACAAGCAGGTATTTTTTACTAAAATGTTTCAATTTATTACCAGATAATTTTTCTTTTAAAATCAAAAGCTTAATTCATCTTATACGGAAGATTAAGATTGCAAAGAAGACCTTACAAGCAAATTGATTATACTTTGTGTTCAATGTTTAATAATTTTTACCTGCCTCCTTTTGTCCATCGAACAATTGTCTGCTTTTTCTAGTTTGTAGCAAGGGTGAGTCAATATAAATGATTACTATAATTGTTTGTATTTATGGGAAATTCAACACTATTTTTGGTATTTAATATAAGAGCTAATTAGAAATTCAATTTGGTTTTAAATGATAACATCCCAATCAATTTTGTCTCTTATATTTATTTATTTATTTTCCAAATAGCCTTTGGCAAATGTATATTAAAAGTTTCATAAGAGGGTGATTTCAATACACATGACAAACAAGGGTATTTTAGAGAAAATAATATATATTTAATACAAATAACTAAATTAATTAATTTTTTTATATTCGCAAATTAGTTACTACTTAATGTAAGACCTAATTGACTAATTTTGAGAGATTAAGAAAGTTACTAATTATTTAAATAGAACAAATGTTATAAGGTTTCTTTAAAATGTTTCTATGTATTATTAGATTATACTCCCTCTTGTCCTATTTATAAACTTCAAATTTAGTAAGGATTGTAGTCCATTTTATAAGCTTCAATTTGGATTTGTTTTAACATTTAATTTATTTTTTTAATGTTGTCTTTAATTATTTCTCTCTTATCATGTTTTCTCATTTATTATAATGGCATGTTTGAAAATAAAAGAATATTTCTAACCTATTTATTATTTTTAACTAATTGGTTATTATCTATGAATTAATTATTTGAAGCTTATAATAAAAACTAGAGGGACTATATCAAATTATAACCAAGAGAAATTATTTGGGAAAAAATAATAAATATAAATATTTTAATAAATCTAGTAATTTTTTTAATTTTTTCAAATTAATTAACTGAACTTTATATTAAAGGTGAAAAGTAGTATTTAGGGAGGTTGTGGGTAAGAACATTTCCTCAATGTTCATGGGTTCTGACGTCCTACTACTTTTGAGAAGCATTCGGCAGGAAGATGTCTATCCCGATTTTAGTGACAAAAAAAAAATGTTATTAGTGAATACTCCGTGTTATGTAATATCCTTTGTTTTAGTAATTACTACCTCCGATCCTTAATATAAGACTCTGTTTGACTTTTATTTTGATCCTAAATATAAGACCCCAATCCACTTTGTCTCTCATATTTATACATTTTTGTCAAAGTAGCCCTTTAACAATGATAATTCTAGTCAATACACTTGATTAGTAAGGATATTTTAAAAAAAATAACACCTATTTAGAATAAATAATTAACTCAATTTACTTCCTTAATATTCTCAAATTAGTCAACTGGTTCTTATAATTAAGACCGGAAGTAGTATTAAGTTATGGTTGATCGAGAATAATCATGATGTGTGATCAGATCTTTTATCTGATTGTGGATGTAAGCCTGGAAATGAGATTGAGTGATTTGAAAACCAGGCTAATAGTAATAAAGAAACAAAGCTGTGGATCAAATTCTCTCTCAAACCTTTTTTTTTTTTTGAAACACGAGCAAATGATATGCTCCTTTGGTTATATTTACAGAGCAATATTTATAAAGCAACGAGAGAGAAAAGATATTTTTTAGTCTTATTGATAAGGCAGTAAGAGAAATTTTTTATATAAATGTACAATTTTATTTTTTATTTATTATTGTATTAATTTTGTTTACATGAGATATAATGTAAATTAAATAAAATTAAAATTAAAATGTAGTTGAATTTTAAATTAGAATTAAAAAAATTTAAATTTTTTTATTTGTGTGAAATATATTCGAACTGACAACTTACAATAAGTAAAACAACCTACATTACAAGAATTAAATCTAAGAAAAGAGTCTTTAAAAATACTATTAACATTGAAGGATGAAAATTGAAATACGAGATAGAATTTCTCGTCAAGTGATGGTTGAAGATCTTGAAATAGGCTATGGTACTTTTATGAATTGCTTCCCCACACAGCGAATAAAGGGGGGTTTTTATGATCTATCGAGAGAGTCCGTTGAAGTAATCTAGAAAAGAGAGGCTCTTAAGACATTTGGAAATGAAATCCAATCTTGCTAGCCTTGCGTTTCTCTAAATAAATTCTCGTAAGCATTTACTCTGATAACCACCATGACAGAAGTGATGTCTGCACCTTTTAAATTTAAATATGATAATGTCCCAGCCATGATGATGAAATTTAGGTGGTTCCGGAACTTGAGGGAGTTTCTTATGAGTTATGAGAGAACATGCCATTGAGCATACCCAAGTATGCTATCCTGGAGATTGAACACGCTTGACAAATTTCATGTATCAATGAAGAAGGGGTTGTTTGTTTTCCTTGATGAAGCACATCATTACAGTTCTTCTAGATCATGTTAAGCAGGCATATAATCTCAAACCATCTTCTCAAATAATAGTCTCAACGCTGGAGCAATTTCTAATCGTTGCTTTTCTTTTTCTTTTTAAAATCAAATTCAATTAATGTTTTGGCAGTCCCTTCTCTATCTGAAATTTGGAAAGTATCAGCATCATTCATCATACTAAACATTGTCTTCAGAGATGATCCAACTCTAACTAGCATGTCCTTTAATGCGATTACCTGAATTTTCATTTGATCCAAATATTAATGACAAATTATCAAATAAAATACCCGACAACTTCAATTTCAATTTCAATGTCAATTCCAACAAAAATCAGTAAAAGAGTCAATGCTGTGAAAATCACAACATAACTGGTTTTATAGCAGTCCGATAATATTTTCCTATAAACTTCTCAGGTACCTTCTTATTGCAAATAACACCGATAAGGCGATAACCTTCCTCCACTTTAACCAACCAACTTGTATTCTATATTATAAGATCAACTATGTAGTATGGTAGTAAATGAACGGGACCTCCTGATCCACAACATACCTAAGAATTTGATTGTTGATAGAGTATTTTGATGTTGTGCGATTCATGTAGCCGACTCCATCTAGTGGGATAAAACTTCTTGTTGTTGTCGTAATGAAAGTCAAGAGAGAAAAAAAATTTTCATCAAACTACACTTGATATAGTGCAGTTCGTAATGCTGCGGACGATTACAGTTTCTTCTGTCATAAAGTACTAGCAGAAATTTAGCCACCTATCTTTGGCACAAAAATAAAAAATATTTAGCCACCTATACATGTCGTGATAACCTCCGACCTGGCTATTCACATATTACTACTTGAAAAACTATTCACAATCACCCACAGGGCTTGCGTATAGAATGTTATGGTTTACTATCAAACTTTTCAATAAGATGTAAAATATAGACATTTCTTTATTCTAATGGCTGAATATCATATTCTTGCCTACTTGATAAAAAATTTCGTTATTATGTCATTATTTTATAGAAAAACCTGATAGCATATATCTAAGGACTAGATCTAAGCTTTTTACTATAGGAAATCCGAAGCTTGGAGGATGATATTATTTTCTTCAAGTCATTGGAAACAAATTGAATCATGAATACGAGACAACTAAAATTTATTTCGCAATAAGATCATAGCTACATCAGATGTGCAAAAGTAACATGACTGCAAAATGGGCATACCGTGAAAGGTGAAACACTTGAAGAGACACTGGGCTTCAAATTAAGAATGTGTTACAGATGTGGATGGTGTTACTGGCTGGTCATGCATCTGTATCTGGTCCTCTGATGGCTGTGATTGTTGCTGCTGATCCCCTTGCCAAACCCAAACGACATCCTTAAGAGCAGGCCTAATTTCCTCTTTCAATATGCTCTGAAATTCCAAAGTGTCTCCATTTGATTTTTTCATCTCAACCAAATGGAAAAATGGAGCAGCCTCGAAGATCTCCACCTCAATGCCTAGAGTCCCTTTTCTACCTTCCTTGAGGCCCTCTAATTTCAGCAAACCTGCAGCTCTTTTCTTTATCTTCATCCTCAGACGCTTGGTGATTTCTTCCAGCTTGGAGATTATGACTGAGGCTGGTTGCCTTGAAGAAAATCTGGCTTCTCTCTTCTTGAAACTATCTTCAAAGAACCCAGATAGATCAAAACCTTTAGAACGGGAGATGATGTCAAAAGCATTTATACTTGTGGGAACAACTGACTCTTGTGTTGCTTCTGCTGCTATACTATCACTTTCGTCGGTTTGATCACAGGGCTTTGTACCTGATGTGGAGACATTCTTGTTCCCCAATTCAGATTTCCCACCTCTAGGACATGGCCCTTTAATAAACCAAGAAGATTCCTTAATCTCAGCTAGGGGAATTCTAGTATCAGGATTTGGATCCAAAACCTTCATCAGCAGTCTACGTACTTCTGGGGAGAACCAAGTAGGGAATTTAAAGTCCGCCTTGGAAATCTTCCTATACATCATTATCAAATTTGAATCATGAAAAGGATGATAACCTGCCAGTAAGACAAACAAAACAACTCCACAAGACCAAGTATCAGATTTAGCACCATCATAACCTTTCCTTTTGATGAGTTCAGGAGCAACATAGGCAGGCGTGCCGCAAGGTGTATGTAGTAAGCCATCCTGTCTCTTGGATTCAGCTAGAGCACTCAATCCGAAATCAGAAACCTTTAGGTTCCCATTTTCATCCAACAAAAGGTTCTCTGGCTTTATGTCACGGTGGTAAACGCCTCTACTATGACAAAAGTCTATGGCATTCACTAGCTGCTGAAAATATTTATGAGCAATATCTTCTTTGAGCTTTCCTTTGGCCACCTTGTCAAAGAGCTCACCGCCTTTAGCATATTCAATAACAAAGTAAATCTTACTTTTGGTGGCCATAACCTCATAAATCTGTATAACATTGGGATGTTTCACACGTCTCATTACAGATATTTCCCGCTTGATCTGTTCAGCTTGTCCAGATTTCATAACTTTGTCCTTGTTTATCATTTTAATAGCCACGCTCTGGTTAGTTATTGTACTGCGGGCATAGTATACCTTTCCAAAGGTACCTTGGCCTAACAACCTTCCTAATTCATATCTTTGCATCAATATATTTGGTTTATTCTCCATGTCAAATCTCACAGTGAGATGAAATAATACATTACCACTTCATTCACATAAAAGAGTATCATTTACAAATGGGAAGAGTATAACTATAACTATATGTATATATGGAAAAATTTATTACGCCACCTTCACATAGATCATGTATTGATGTGAATGGCACTCTAAAAAACTTGTGTGCCAACTATGCATCAGAGAAATGATAAGAAATGAGCTAAAGAATTTTGACCCACTCTTGTAGGGCATGAAGCAATAGCAGAGACATAACCTTATGGATCTCAAAGACAGAGCTTTCATCATGAAGGCACATCGTTTGGCATCACAGGTAGTGCCTATCTCAATGACAATCAAAAGGGCAAGCTACACATGCCAGTCGAGGACATTCAGTAGTATACTTCAACTTCAGCAGATTTCCCCCCTAGATTCCGAAAAACAAAGATCAAATAATATTGGCCTCAATAATCATTCAGAAGATTGATGCAAGAATTTGGAATATGAAATTACACAGATGAATGTGTGGAAAACCCAGCATATCAGTAGCTGAATCAGAATCAATCTTCAGCGTTTCTGGGTCAGTAAACAGAGCTAAAATCTAGTCCAGTATTTGTCTAAACCTCCGCACCGAATAATCCATAGCAATGAACACAATCAACCAGATATATAGAGAATATTGACACTTCAAATACTATTTTGAATCAGAAACTTTTTTCGTGACATTTTTTAGAAGATAAAAACAAAAATTCAGACAGTATTTATCCAGAGGGATCAGAATAAGAGCCAGTGCATAAACCATTGTCACCAAAAAAAAAAAAAAACAATAGCCATAGTTTCATTACTGGAAACCCTACCTCAACTGGCTAACCATATGCACATAACCTTTCTTCTGCTGCCGTAAAAGAGATGCAAAGCAATTCTAGTTCAATTTCGCTACAGAGGAATCACAGATCGCAGAATTTTACCAGGAATTGCTTGAAAGCCAGAATTTTTTTTTTTTAATTTTATAAACTCAAATCTATTAAATTCAATTTACGAAGATCCCATCATGAGAAGAAAAGAAAATCATGCATGTGCTCAGAATAAACTCTGAAACCGAAACAGATCGAGGGAATTATAATGAATATAACCTCAAGATGGAGCTGAACCGGATTGTTGAAGATCACCCATCCAGACGAAATGATGAAGATTCGAGAGTGCAGGGAAACAGGAAACAGGAAAGAGAATAATTTAAGGAGAGTGCGATAGAACAAAAGAAGAGTACTGATTTTTCTTCTTGATGAAGTAAAATATATGTTCAGGAAATCACGCAAGGAGGAAAACGACGCAGAAAAAGAAATAAGAATGGAATTAGGCAGAGGCAGGACTTAAAAGGACAAGTATGTCGCCTTATTTCTCCTCTCATTTATCAAATGTCAACTTCGAAGGAAATGATTCTGTCCATGTTTCATGTGTGTAATAATATGTTGGCCAAAAAATGCGCGTCATAATATACAAATTTTTATAAAATAAATGAATAATAATATTAATTAATTAATGTATCACTAAAATAATGCAGTTTAACATTCTCTCATTGTTATCAATATGATCAAATATGGATATCCATCTCTTTTTCCTTTTCAACTTCATCAACTCCCATTACTTTCACTAGACATTAATCTTTCACTACTCTATTACTTCTCCACTATGCCTTTAATCTTGTAACTCACCCGCACTTCACATTCAAGTGGTTTATTGTCCAGTATCTATCGTTTAAGTAATAATGTAACTTATATGTAAGACTATGCCTATAAATAGGGCATACCATTATATTGTGATATAAGTGAAGCAGGTGAAAGAATACAATATCATTCTCTCATTTTTTTGTCTACTTCTCTTCTCCAATCTACTTTCATTGTTGGTTAATTTCATAACACATTATCAACATGATACTCTACCATCAGAGTTCATGGCTTCTAGTTGATACATATTGATGTTTTGTTTGTTGAATAAAGATAGTTTGATCCGAACAGTTTGGTAAATTTCTCCAATTTATTTAGAGGAAATGGTTGTTTTTCATATTAACCTTATTGATTCATTGGTAGTTGAATATTTTATTTATCGTATTGAGATATAAAAATTTTTATTTTTATTTCTTACTTCTATTATATTTTCATGATTCTACTATCCTTATACTTAATTTGCTATGAGGTTTATTTTTATCTATAACATTACTATATATGATTATTATCTCCGATATTAGTTAATTGTTGTCTTAGAAAGTAAAATGTTAAATATATAAATGAATGGTTAATAGTCATTGTACTCTTGATTTTGTGATTAGATGGCCAGAAGCCATATCACATTTTAATGATTCTTTGACAAAAGACCATCTTATGGTTGTAACAAATGGCATGGCAAAATTGTCACAATTTGATAATCTATATCAAAGTTCTGAAGATTGATGGTTTAAAAAATTAAACCATACAAAAGAACTTCATAGTTTTGAAAATTTTGTTATAGTCCGAAAGACTAATATTTGAGAAAATTGATGGTGTGCTATTGAAAGCAAGGAATATATCCATAAGAGTATTGAAGAATATGATCACATTATGTCAGTGGAACTGATAACTAAAAAGATAATAATCTTGGGGCTTGACTATTGAATCATAGCAGAAGAATTAGTAATAGTCCTATGATCAATATAAAATTATGAACAAATGTTATAATATAACCAGAAGTCATATAGACAAATATGTATCAATTCATTGAAAAAAAAATGTTAAAAAAAAAGGTTGTGGAATCAAAAAAACTATATGATATTATAAAAATATCGAAGGTAATTCTAATACCTGAAGGCAATAAGTTGTGAAGAAAGATAGATGCCTAGAGTACATATAAAAATAGAAAACATACAAGTATATGCCTAGAAGGCTGCATGTATAATGTTTAATTTTTATCAGTCTTTAAATTTATTGTGATTTGTGATAAACAAATTGTTATAAGAATTTGATATTGTGATATTGGTAAGCGTGTGATATAAAACTAAATAGATCAAATAGACCCAAAAGTTACTAGTTACATTTTGTTTATTTATATCTTATTTATATGATCTGATTCAATATTAGTTTCGGATATTTTTAATGTCTATAGTACCTTGATCAATATTGAGAAATTTTGAATGTTCAGTTTTATTTGTACTTTATTTTTAAAAGTTCATTTTAAATGCGCTTCATCATTTTTGTGTGTTCTCTATGTGTATTGCACGTTAAATCTGTGATACTCATAATTATTTGTTATTATGTTAATGATATATTAAAATAGAGTTGTCTTTCATATTCCTTCTAAATTATATAGTTCCTAAAGAACTAGATTTAATAATATTAATATAGTTCCAAAAGAACTAATATTGATTTTTCTTTCTCAGTAGACAAAATATTGATAGTGAAAAATATGACCCATAGATCTACATCACAGCTTTGATTCTCCAAAGAGTATAAATGTTATAGTACAATTAGATTAAAGTCCGTAACTATATATGAACTAGGAAGTACTTGGGCTTCCAAACAAAAGATAGGTTATTGGCTTTAACTTATTATATGCCAGTAACTATTTATGAAATATATGAATAAAAAAATCATATTTGAATGACTCAATCTTGAGGGGGAGATTGATGGAATATAAGTATGAGTTGATATTGGATATATTTTTCATATCAATTTCATAAATGAATATCATCAATCATATATTATATTAAAAAATTTATTGTTGGTAATGAAACATGGTACAGTAAACTAGACATTTACTGATATAATTAGATTTATTATTGGCATGACTTGTTTGATCATCTTAAACTATATGATGCAACAAATTATTGAAGATTATGTATTGATATCAATTGAAAAACCAGAAGATTCTTCCGAATAGCCAACATTTTTAAGAATTTGTATGCGCTGCTTGTTCTCAAAGAAAATTGATTATAAAATATCACTAGTTATATGTTGTTTTCAAATGAATCACTACATTTCTGGAAATATATATAGGCCCATTTAGAAGCACATAAGTCATATAAGTATTCAATATTTAATAGATGCATCTATATAAAATGGTAAGATGTGTGATTGACATTAATTTGCAACCTGAAGTTTGCAAGATTATTTAGATAAATTTTTTCAGACTATGTGATTCTCAAAACTTGATTTTAAAGATGCTAATGAATTTATATATCAGGCTTTTAATGTTAAAAAGCCTGCTTAACAAATTGATCCAGCAAAACATTTGTTAATGCATCCGTGAATAGCTTGATCAATATTTATGAGAACAAATTTTTCCATTTTAGTGTTGGCATATTTGATTTAATATATGGCAGCTCTTATAGACATCAAGACAACAAAATTCTCCCAATAAAATTGGCTTTTGGTCAGGAGCCAGATCTTTTTCATCTAAAAAAATTGAAATGTACAATATTTATTCCTACCAATCCACCATAGTGCACATAGATGGATATTAAAAGAAAATTGGGATATTTGTTGGGTAAGAACCTCCTTCTTCTTGTCTGCCTCAAAATGGAACAAAACAATGTTCCTAAAGGAAGTCAATGGATTTAGGAGGCTTATATTGCATAATTAGTTCATTGTTATTTGACAGATTTTTTCAACATGAGGGGAAGAAATTAAGTAGTTGGAAAAGAGAATGTATGGAATGCATTATTAGTATTACTATTAAATTAGATCCTCAAATATATTAGTATGGACCAGAAGTTCATCAAAATTGCATTCATGAAATACTACAAAATATTTTACTGACCTGAATGAAAATTTTTAAATCTCTTATTCCTGCTGAAAATGCTCCAATCATTATAAATAAAAATGAGACATGCCGGAAGCATGAGAGGTTAATCAGTTCCAATATAAATATCTTGAATAAAGAGGAGCATACAACTTAAAAGTTGTATTGAGGAGGCATGTACTCTAGAAGAGTGTCAAGACATAACTAATTGTAAAACTCCAGAAGAAGTTCAGGTACCTAAAGAGAAAGAAAGAGATCTTAGTAAGTTATGTCACAAGAGAAAAATGGAACTGAAAAGATAAAGGTTATCGATAACGATTTTGATAAGAATATCATGTGATAAAAGGAGGATCTTACACATAGATCTATCATACAAAGTAGATATAAATTTGGCCAAGAAGAAAAGTAAAAAGGAAAAGACATGATGAAAATATTACTTTGATATGTGAAAAGGCCTGTAGTCCTAATACATGAAATATAAAATTTCTATAGAATATATAGACGTTTATGTGAAAATATAGATTTTCACAAATGATTATACTAAGACATATTACTTTGTGGTGGATATAATAATTTGTCAGTTATGAAATATGCCTGTTAAACATTACAATGACCTGTGGATGAGCATAAGTAAATAGTAAAATTTACATGATTATCCTTAAAGGATCCAAAATATGCCAGGAGCACATATAAGAAAATCTTGCGGTATATAAAATATTATGAAGATTAAAATAATTTCAATATGTATCATCTATTTTATAGTTCTTGATCAAAATATTATGAAATTCAAGTCCTTGAGAATAATACTTAATTAAATTAAATAAGTTGTCAGAAGCAATCAGGATGTATGTAGTATAACTGACTAAGTAAATATCGATTGAATAAATGATATAAAAATAATCTAATTCGCCCATGTATTTCTATGAAAAGCTTTTTAAAATGAGTTTGTTATAATTTTTGTTTTTATTAATGACATAAATATTATCAAAACTCCTGAAAATTTCATAAAAGCTGTAAATTGTTTACAAGAAAGAATTTGAAATGAAGGACTTAGAAAGAAAATGTTTTGTCTCAGATTGCAAATTGAATACTTGAGATATAAAAATTTTTGTATATCAAATAATTGATACAAGAAATGTCATAAAATGTTTTTATATGGATAAATCACATCCTTTATATACTTTGATCATTGTGAGATTTGTGGAGGTGAATAAAGAACCTTATATATTTCAAGAAAGTAATGAAGAACTACTCGGGGCCTGTTTGGATAACATCCCAAACCATTGTTTGGGGACCCAAATCATGGTTTGAGTAAAAAAGTTGCCAAACAGGGGGCAAAATTAATAAACCACGGTTTTGTGCCAAAATCATAATTTTGGACTCAAAACCATGATTTCAAAAAAAGTAAATCCATTCTGCTTCTAGCTCAAATTAGAGAGTATGATTGTGCCTGTCAGAGTAGATCTCAACCATAACATAACTTTAACACCCCTAAATTATTTTTTTATAAACATATTTAATCTTATATTTTATAAAAGTATATACACATATTAATTATTTATTAGTTATAT